GGAACCCCGTGGCTGGACCGCTACATGCCATACGCATTCCACCCCAACTTCCTTCGCCTCACCAACCCCCCCGCCACAACCATTGACATCCCCTATCTCCCATATCCGACCTCCCAAGGCTCTGTCACCCCGCACCAATTCCTCCACATGGCTCGCCTAAACCCCAACTCCGCCTACTACTGTCATGTCCTTGATCGCGAAAGTCCCAAGGACTTACTCCCGACGGACAAACCCGATCAAGCCCCGCCCGCCAACCCCACCATCAGTTCAATCCTCGACGAGTTCARGGACGTCTTTCCCGAGTCCTTACCCGCCGGACTACCTCCGGATCGTGGCGTATTGCATACCATCGATTTGGAACCCCGACATTCTCCACCTTGCCGCCCTCCTCGGTGAACTCCTTGAAAAAGGGTTCATTAAGCCAAGTTCATCCCCCTTCGGAACCAGCTGCCTTTTCGTCAAGAAAGGTGGAACTTCGGAACTCCGCATGTGCACAGACTACCCCGCCTTGAACCGGATCACGATCAAGAACAAGTACCCCCTGCCTCGGATTTCCGAGCTCCTTGATCGTCTCCGTGGAGCCAAGTACTTTACCAAGATCGACCTTCGTAGTGGCTTCGACCAGATCCGTATCCGCGAGGACCCTCACAAGACCACCTTCCGCTCTCGGTTCGGGCACTACGAGTTCCTCGTGATGCCATTCGGACTCACCAATGCCCCCGCTACCTTCCAATCCACCATGAACCACATCTTCCGCAACCTCCTCGAAGTCTGTGTAGTTGTCTACCTTGATGACATCCTTGTCTTCAGCCCCACCTTCGAGTCCCACCTTCAGCACCTTCGCCAAGTCCTCGCGATCCTCCGAGAGCAAAAATTCTTCGCCAAGCTCAGCAAATGTACGTTTGCCGCTTCGAACGTCGAATACCTCGGCCATATTGTCTCCGCTAAAGGCATCCATATGGACCCCTCGAAGGTCACAGCCCTCGTCGAGTACCCCCCACCCAAGACCCTCCTCCAACTCCGTTCCTTCCTTGGCCTTGCCAACTATTACCGCCCATTCATTCGCAACTTTTTCGAGATCTCTTACCCTCTCCACGAACTCACCCGCAAGGACGAGCCTTTCCATTGGAACGATCGCCGCCAACAAACTTTCGACTTACTCAAGCAAACCATCACCACGACCCCTGTCCTCAAGATCACAGACCCCACTCGCCATTTATATGTCACCACTGACGCCTCCGACTTCGCCATCGGAGCCGTACTGTCCCAACATTTCCCCCGCGACACCGCCGAGACCCCCTCCATCAAGGACTCGYCCACTCACCTCGAGGCTCCACCAGGCGAATACCCTATCGCCTTCGCAAGCAAGAAGCTCCTTCCCGCGGAGATGAATTACCCCTCCAACGAGAAGGAACTCCTCGCCGTGATCCACGCCCTCACAGTCTGGTGCCCGTACCTCGACGGGCAATACTTCACCATCCGCACTGACAACACCATCGTCTCCTCCATCCTCTCCAAGAAAGATATCACTCCACGCCAAGCCCGCTGGCTAGACTTCCTTGCCCAGTTCACATTCACCATTTGCCATACCCTCGGCAAAAGCAACCGCGTTGCCGATGATGCCCTCTCGCGACGACCCGACCACAAGCCCCCCGAGAAAGTCTGCGCCACCATGACTCATATTCAACTCCTTCCATCACTTCATCACCGATACACCCAAGGCTATCTCTCCTGCTCAGACTTCGCCACCATTTACAACAAGCTCCACGATCTTGACTCAGTTCCCGACTACTCCCTTCACAACAATCTCMTCTACATCRWTACCAAASGCACTCGCCGACTTTGCATCCCCGACGCACGAGGCCTCYRTACTCRGCTCTTGGCCGAGCACCACGACGCCAAGACCGCAGGACATCTCGGTTTCCAGAAGACCTTCGACACCATCTCCCGCTACTTCTAYTGGCCTTCCCTACTCGYCKACGTTAAGGCATACATTCGCTCGTGYCCCACRTGTCAAGYTGTCAACCCCTCGAACCGGGCCAAACCCGGCAAGCTCCAATCATTGCCCATCCCAACTCACCGGTGGCAGTCCATCTCCATGGACTTYRTGTGCGGCCTCCCCAAGACCGACCGCGGGCATGATTGCATCTACGTCATTGTCTGCCGCTTGACCAAACGTGCCCACTTCATCCCTTGCACGACCTTGCACAGTGCCAAAAACGTCGCCACACTCTTCTTCGACCATGTTGCTCGCCATCACGGCCTCCCCGAGAACATCATCAGTGACCGTGATCCTCGCTTCCTCTCACAATTCTGGAAACACCTCTTCACGGCCTACGGAACCACGCTCAAGTATAGCACTGCATTCCACCCACAGACTGATGGACAAACAGAGAAGATGAACGATACACTCCAAAGAATCCTGCGGAAGTATTGTCATCCACACCAACACGATTGGGATCAGTTGCTCACAGCCGCCGAAATTGCCTACAACAATGTTGTCTGCCCCTCCACTGGTATGTCCCCTTTCTACCTCGACCTTGGCTACCATCCCCGCTTGCCCTCTGATTTCTTGCTTCCCTCGCAGCTCAGCCCCTCCACCCCCTGCCCCTCTCTCAATGAATGGATAGCAACAATGAACAGACTCCTTCGAGAAGCAACCGAAGCCCTTGAAAGAACACAAGAACAACAAGCCAACAAGACTAACAAACACAGACGGGACGTGTCATTCAAAGTAGGGGACAAAGTCTGGCTTTCTGCCAAACGCTTTGAACCCGAACAAGGCTTGTCCAAGAAACTCTCGAACAAGTGGCTCAGTCCCTTCCCCATCATTGAACAAACCTCCCCCGTCAACTACAAACTCCAACTTCCCCCTGACATGAGTTGTGTCCACCCAATCTTCCATGTCGAGTACCTAAAAGAATACCATGAATCCCCGCTCCAGTTCGCCGACCGCCCATATCCTAGACCTCCACCAATCATGCTACCCACAGGCCATGAATTCGTTGTCGAAACCATCATCGGCCGACGAACCACTCAGGTTTCTGATCATCCGAAACCAATCACTAAATACAAAGTTAAATGGACCGGATACCCCAACTCAGAATCTACATGGGAACCTCTCTCTAATATTAAGAACGCCATGAAACTTGTCCGCGCCTATGATCGTGCTAATCCTATGTCCTAGATACCTATATCACTATGGCATAAACCCCCGCAAAAAACCCTTGCAACCCTGCTCTACACACACCCTTGAACCCAGTCCACCCTTCCCTTGATCCTCATYCYTGATGTCTGATCTGCCCTTGCCCTCGCCTAGCCTTGTCCCATCTGTCCTCTCCACTACCTTGTCTCTCTTGTCCAATGCTTGTGAACTTGCGTGACGCCGACGATAAAGGATCTAATGGCAAGCGCACGAGGACGATGGCCTGCTGCCTCACTGTTCATGGAGATTATGCAGTTGGTTTGGCCACCATGCTGTTTCATTGGTCGGCATCCCTAACTCGCGGATTTACTGGAGCAGCAACTTGTGACATGGATCTTTGCATCAGTCTGCGACTTCCTTGCTTCCAGATCAGACCTCATTGCAGTTCGTGTACCGGACGCACCCTAGCACTTGGACTTTGACACTTGAACTACTACTACGCTTCTTGGACTTCTACCTATCGCAGCTGCTGAAGACCGCTTCTACCACCTACTCCAAAGACCTGATCAAGTCCGCTGCAGACCCCCTTTCAAGACACTTGGACACTTTGTTCCTACATGAGATTCTGCTTCCGACTCCTTCGGACACACCAGCCTTCGCACCCTGAACAAACATTTTGTGAGTTTGACAACCCCGTAGAACATCATTAGCAGATCCCTGTTTTGCCAACCATTGTTCCCCGTACCCACTAGAACATCAATAGACATCCCCTGTTCCCCTGACCATTGTTTCCCTTACCCATTACAACATCAAATAGCAATGCCATGTTTTCCTGAACACCGTTTCCCTTACCCAGTAGAACATCAATAGAAGTTTCCCTGTGCCCTGAACTCTGTTCCCACTTAACCTATAGCGAACCATGAGTCCCCTTAGTTCATCAGTAGGACCACCCTGCTCCCTATCTCCCTTTAGTTCATTCGTAGGACTACCCTGTTCCTCGCTGCCCCCCCTAGTTCATCTGTAGGACAACTCTGTTCACCGATATCAAACCCTGTTCCCTCTTACTCCCGCAGCCCCTGCCACCCACATTATACCCCTCTTCCCTTTCGACTTGTTAACCAGTGATCGAGATTTCAGCATTGTTTCATGATTTTTGGCAGCCGGGACGTTGCCTTCTAGAGGGAGGGGATAGTATTACGGACTCCGCCAGGGCTCGATCCCTGGTCTATCTTTTGCTATTTCAGCTGCATCCCGTTTTCGGCCTGACACCCTTTTTCCAAACCCCTCCTTTGGTACCGTAGGATTTTGGACAATTGGCGCCATGCTGCAATTCGGGCGCCACTTTCAAATACTAAATTTTTCAGTTCTTCCCTCGGGGCCTTTGCAGAAATGCCCCTAGTACCGTACGTGTCACCGGTACTTATACCGGCTCCCCGTACGGTACGGGGACCAGTCTCGTACCAGTTCTCGGCTGCT